GAAGCTGAGTACCACTCAAGAGAGAAGCTGTGAAATGGGATCAGAGTGGGAATGAGATAGGCTAGTGAGAGGAGCCAGTGCTGTCAGAGACAGAGAAAGGCAGGAATGGGGGCAGGAGGAATGTAATCTTCCTGTTTAAGTAATAGGAAATTGAGCATTTAATAAATCTCAACTGAATGTAGATTGTCCCCACAAACTCTTTAATAATACACTGTTTCGTTGGTTATGTGAAATAACATGCATGTGCTACAGGAAAGAACTAAACTAGGAAGCACGTTAGGTAAGAGGAGTGAGCAGAAGCATTGGGGCTGTGGTCCGATATGGAGAAATCACTTCAGTTTTCCTGTTGCGGTTGGTAACCACGAAACAAATGGAGAGGCTGAACCCATTTTTATCAAATACTTAAAACCATGCTCTATGTATGTTTGGGCGGCAAGGATATGTCAGTCAGAAATTACAAGTTCACCTCATTTCCTAAGGTGGGGAATCAAAATTTATTTTTAGTTAAAAACAAGATAGAAAGTCTTTCTAAAATTAGAAAATTTTATGCAGTTTGTGTCAGATCTTTACTGTGCTTGTTTGCGCAAGTTACTTAACTTCTCTATGCCTCAGTTTCCTCATCTATAAAACTGGAAAAAAGAACCAACCTCAGAGTTGTTGGGTAGATTAAGTAAATTAGCATACGTAAAACAACTAGGATGGTGTCCAACACATAGTACGCACGTGCTATATAAATAACTACTTTATTATTGTTGTTGCTATTGTCACATCAACACACTCAAAGACCTGGATAGTTTTGTACAGTGCATAACATTTGGTCTTCCTGATTTTTAAGAAAATTCAAAAATAAAAGCATCCAGGAAATAAAATAAACTCCAATCCAAAACAGCCAACTTCATCTGTTTTTAATAATTTTGAAGAGTAGGCAGGCAAAGTCGAAACCATTTCAAGAATTAATAATGAGAGATATACATGTGTTGGAAAAGGTCGTCAAGAGGACGTGACCACAGTTGACCCAAGAGCTGGACCTGGTTCCTCACCCCCTCCGCTGTCCTCAGAACATACACTCTGCCTACTGTTCCCATAGTGGGAGCTGTTCCAAGGACACAGCCTGGAGAGAGTACGGTGTTGTTGAGATCATCTGGACAGTATACGTGACTGAATGCAGTTAAGGCCTCTCTATAAACTTTTAAGATTTGGTGGGTGGGTTCAGGGATCTGCTTGTCTTGCAGCTGTCCAAGGCAAGCCTTGTAAGTAAGTCCCCTTGCTTATTAAACCTGCGTCCTCCCCATCTGGAGTCATCTGCCTCTCTCTTCGGTCTCTCCATGCCCTCCACGTATGGGGGCCAGTTTGTGAACCAACACCACATTTCAGTTACTTAAACCAAGCTATCGAAAACTAAAATGAAAGGTGTCCTGTTAACACTGTAAGGACACCATATATTTTAATCAGTTCCTCCTTCTAAAGACTCTGGTTCACATAGCTGTGGAATAGTTGATTTCAATATTTGTCCCAAGGGGCAGTCAGTGCCATCGAGAGAGAGAAATCCATCTTGGCCTGCCAGGGGAAATAAAAGCTCCAAGGTAAGGAGAGAGCTCTTTCCCAGGGAAACAGAAGTCAACTTTACATCACGTGTTTTGCCTGAAGAACAAATGTGTCCTTTTCCCTTAAATTTATATTTGCTCCCCCAAGATGCCTCTAGGCTTTCAAGAGTTGCTATTTGGAGTCAAACCTGTTTTAGCAAATTCACTGATGTTGGTATAAATTTGATCTAAATGTTGGTATTTGGAAGCAGTCAGAATATCCTCAGGTTTAAATTGGCTCAAAATGTCAGAATCAAATTGTAGGGGTCAAAAGAGCCAATATCCAAAACAGCACACTGTCCACTAGGCTAATACAATATTTGCCTTGTGATTCCTACATTTTTGTACTAAATAAACTAAATCCAACTGAATTATTACATTAAATAAAGTGTGATTAGAGGAAAAGAATAATATTAAATCATCAGTATTCGTGCTTTGAAAATTTAAATAGCAGCCGGTTATTTGCTTAGTTCGCTTCATGATTTCAGAAATAAAAGTTACAGCTGTAAACAGACTCCTCTGTGGACAGTGCACCAGAGTACGGCAATACTAGAAGCATTAAAATCAGGTAGCAGGCTACTATAAGTATCTAAATGAGAAAAGACAGTGGTGTGAATGGAGTGATGCCCTAGAGAAGGTGAGACTAGAGAACTCGTTAGAGGTGGGAAAATGAGGAGACAAGAGCAGTTTTGCTAGGATGTCAAGTCGGATAAACAAGTCTGGAGCAAGGCAGAGCAATCTGGGTCAGAGAGATAAACTTAGAAGTTAATGGCATATTTCTGGTCTTCAAAACTATGGGACCAGATGAAATCACTAGAAAGAGAAAATGCGCTACGGGGACTCTCCAACATTCAGACCCCAAGCATTAGAGTTTGGGCAGAGGAGGAGGAGACATCAGAGAGATAGGAGGGAAACCAGGAGAGTGTGGTATCGTGGAAGCAGCAGAAGAAAGCATTTCAAAAAAGAGAGTGGCTACATGTGCTAAACGCTGCTGATGGAGAATACAGTGGGAGAGAGAATAATTCTCCATGGGAGGAGCAAAATAGAAGTTTTTGGAAACTTAGATAACAAGCTGTTTCCTGAAGTCGTGCGGATACAATTCCAGCTGGTGTGGGGTAATGAGAGGATGGGAGGGAAGAAAGTGGAGTCAGGGCCTATAGACAACTGTTTTAAGGATTTTTCTGTGAAAGAAAACAAAGTAATGGGGTAGTAGTTGGAAGATGATGAGGAGGTCAATGGAGGCTTTAAAAAACTTTTCAAGTGTCTGATTTTAAGGCATGTTTATGTGTAGATGGGAATGGTGCAGGAAGGAAAGGGGATAATTTCATAGCAAGGTCCTTGAGGAGGTACTAGCTTCAGAGGGGAGGAGGATTCCCCTTCCTTGGAAGAGCAGAGGAGGTAGAGCACATGGCAGCAAGTCCCAGGCTTCTCTGGGTCTCAGCATCTTTGCAACAGGAGACCGTTGAAGCATTGTTTTCTATGGGCTGACCTCAGCAAGGCTCCACTTCTCCCAAGCTCACCCACAATGTTAAACACAGTTAAGCTTTTGTTAACATAAGGCTCTTAAAAAGAAGTGAATAGACCAAAGAGAAAAGGCAAAAATAGCATCGCTTACCAAATCCACCTGCAGCACCTAGTCACCCATTCACCCCTGACCCCTGGGCGTAACTCTCTTAGGATTTGGGAGTGAGTCCCCCAGTAGAGATGCGCTTTCAGGGGATGCAAAACCAGCAGTTCCTCCCAGGCCATGATTCACCAGTGAGTTCCCCCGCGTATACCTTCTCTGGGAGCACAGAACTTGCAGAGGGTCTCGAGGCAATATCCTATGTTGGACTTTGTCCCTTCCTTTGACTGTTGTCCATCCTAGCAGAAGCAGTACTCGGTGGTCCCTCTCTCCTTAGGCTACTGTATCAGAAATGGAGTGCTTATTCTTCATTGGCTCATTTATCTTAAAAATCTTGTCAGAAAGACGAGGATCTTATTCTAGGCCTAATTACATTATCCTAATTAAGAAGCCATGGTTTATGAAGAAAAATATAACTGATCATACTGAGCAGTAAAACATGATTTTGATTCATGATACATTTTGAGTCAGAATAACTCACTGGCTTTTGGTAGCCCAACAAGGCTTGGCTTCTATTTTTTTCCAAAGTAGGAAAAAAACTACAGATACATTTTTCACCCCTGGAAAAATCACAAATGGAAATTTACAAAATAGCTTCTACAAAAGATTATATTACCTACCTTTCTACCTCAGAGGACCGTATGTGATCAAATAATAAAATCTGTGTGAAGGAACTTTGAAAACTATAAAATGCCATATAAGTGTGAGAACAAATGACAGAATCTACATAGGTAAATCTAAAGTACACAAAAGTCAGTAAAGGGGCTTTGAGAACAGAGGCAGGAAAGTACATACTTGATAATCTTTTTAGTTAAGGATTTGGGATCCAAGTAATGCTGGAAGTCACAGCAGAAAAGTACTTATTTGTATTATCTCAGGGGCGACGAGAGTGTGTAAGGGAAGAACAATTCTTTTTTTTTGGTAAGGAAGATTGGCCCTGAGCTAACATCTGTTGCTAATCTTCCTGTTTTTGCTTGAGGAAGATTGTCCCTGAGCTAACATCTGTGCCAATCTTCCTCTATTTTGTATGTGGGATGCTGCTGCAGCACGGCTTGATGAGTAGAATGTAGGTCCACACCTGGGATCCAAACCCACAAACACCAGGCTGCCGAAGCAGAGCATACAAACTTAACCACTATGCCCCTGGGCCAGCCCGAAGAACAATTCTTGAAGGCAGTGTTGCTCAACCCTTCATTTGCACATGACCCACTTGAGGATCTTGTGAAAATGCAGATTATGATTCAGTAAGTCTGAGCTGGGGCCTGAGAGTCTGCATTTCTAACAAGCTCCCAGGTGATGCTCGCGCAGCTGGTCCACAGACCACAATTGGAGTATTAAAACTCAATTATAAGGGGCTGACTGAGGAGCAAGCCAGGTGTCACAAAAAGAAGAGGACTGAGTGAAACAGACTGTCATGAAACAGAAGCCTGACAGTGGAGATCTTTATTAGAAAGAGAGATTTGAATAAGACACATGTGTCAAGGTCATAAGCCGAGCTGGAAGGATGGGAAGAAAACACGTATGAAGTGAACTGTGGTAATGAAGCATCAGCAGCTGTGTGATGTTCTTCCTGGGGGATTCTTTTATAACTTCTAAAGAGAGGGAATCCCTTCAGGAGAGAGAACTCAGCCACTTGTAAGAAGGACCCAAAAAATCTTCATCAGCAACTTGTCTGTGCAACTAAATATTTAGGTGTTGCTAGATTTTGAAAAGATCATGTATTTCTTAATAGATAGATTGTCCTGAAGGATTCTTAGACTATCTTAGCACTTAACACTCAGACTACGACTTACCAAAGTTCTCGTCCTCTAAGTCACTGCCTGGTGGCTCTTCTAGGAAAAAGCACAAAGGGCAAACAAGTCTTTATTTGTAGGGTTGGTGACTCCAGGGCTCTGTACCCATCTCTCCCTGTCCTACAAAATCGTAGTCCTTAGACTTTAACACCCAGAATAACTTCAGCTCAGTTGGACTGGCTGAACTGACATGTAATACCCAGTCATTGATAATGAGCTTTTAATCTTAAGAAGTTAAAAATATTGCATGAAGGTGCTAGAGGTAAAGGGTTTGGGGGTGGAGGAATAAAGCTGTTAACTCTTCCATTTCTGTCCATGTCTTGTACAATGTTGATAACATCACAATCTTGAAAAATTCAGAACTAAGAAATGAGGCCCGTTGTTAACTTCCACTTTATGTTATTGCTTAGACCTCAGAAGACACATTAGTCATGAAAAACTTAATATTCACTAAATACCTTAAATTACACATGGAAAAGCCAGTGTAGACTAGAGAAAAGAGATGTGATTCAAATTCAGTAGCCACACTTTTACTACATTATGTGTGGCCTTTTGCTTTAACAGAAGCCCCCACATGATAGCTATTAACACAGCCCATTCAATTTGGAAGGTACAATTTTTGGTTATTTTTTTGAAGGGGGAAAGGTGGCCAGCTCCATGATGAACAGTGATAGCACCCTAAAGCTTTAAGGTTCAAATAATCCCATACATATGGTAAACAAAATTATTAACACTTTCTAGAACACCTCATTCTTTATCAGACTTGCCAACCCATTAATGAAAGCTGTGAAAAAGAATTCCCACTATACACCTGATGGGCAGAAATTACAACACTGGCTCTAAGGAGTGATGCCTCTCACCCATCTGACTAACAATAGTAAAGAGCTGAGAGTCAGAGTGGGGATAAAGATTCTAGGCAAAGTGAGTATTTATAAAGTGTTCACTTGGGAAAGATAATTAAAATAGCAACCAATCTTTGAATCCTTACTATGTACTAGGAACCATGTTTCATTTACATTATCCAATTTAATACTCACTTCAACCCTTGCTGTAGTTACAATAATCCTCCTCTAAAAATGAACAGCTGAGGTTCCCAGAGGCCATGTGAATCTTAGGGTCCAGTCTTTGCTTGGAGTCACACTGCTTAGAAGTGAAGCACTTGGAATTCAAACTTAGTCTGTGTGACTCGAGTCCACTTACAACTAGTCCAACCACTAGCCTCTTATTTTAGAGTTGAGTACTGTAACTACTGGCCATACCAAATTTTTTACAAAAATAAAGATTATTCATAAAGCTTTTCACTACATTCCCCACCCCTCCTAAAAATAGCAATGCTAGATCACGTTCATCAGGACGATAAGCACTGTCCGACTTCCCAGCTTTCTCATTAGCAACATATAGGTTTCAGACTTACCCTTTGAAAAGCCAAATCAAGCCCCAAATGTCATAGAACGGCCATCTTTCTCTGGTTTTGTTAGACTAACATGTATGTGCAAGGCTTAGTGCTTGAGAGAGAGAGTAAAATGTCAAGATGCAATATTAACTGCTTCATTCCTCTTGCTGGGCCCTAAGTGACTAGGCTTGTCTTTAATATCCCAAACATAATAAAAAACAATAAAATTTGAGGTTTATAATTATATTAAAAAATCACGTCACATGGTTTTTGTAAAAGGCCCAACAGTGTACCATTCTAATCAAATGCTAGCTCGTACAATAAGAGTGGTCAGCCCCTCAGAGGATCTGAATACACAGTTCTCCAAAGAAGACGTAAAGATGGCCAACAGGCACATGAAAAGATGTTCAGCATCACTAATTATAGGGAAATGCAAATCAAAGTCACAATGAGACATCACCTGACACCTGTTAGAATGGCTATTTTCAAAAAATCAAGAAATAACATGTGTTGGAGAGGATGTGGAGAAACAGGAACCATCATGCACTGTTGGTAGGACTGGGAATCTGTGCAGCCCTATGGAAAATAGTATGGAGAGTCCTCAAAAAATTAAGAATAGAACTACCATATGATCCAGCTATTCCACTGCTGGGTATTTAGATGGAGAATATGAAAACACTAATTCAGAAAAATATATGCATCCCTGTGTTCATTGCAACATTATTCACAAGAGCCAAGATATAGAAACAACCTAAGTATCCATCAATGGATAAAAGGATAAAGAAGAAATGGAATAGTACTCAGCAATTAAAAAGAATGAGATATATATATATACACACACACACACACACACACACATATACACAATGGAATAGTACTCAGCCATGAAAAAGAATGAAATCTTGCCGTTTGTGACAACACGGATGGAACTTGAGGTATTATGCTAAGTGAAATAAGTCAGAAGGAGAAAGACAAATACCGTATGATTTCACTCATATGTAGAATCTAAAAACGAAAAACAAAACAAACAAACAAAACTAAATGAAAACAAACTGCTAGGTGCAGAGAGCAGCTGCTGGTTACCAGGGAGGAAGGAGACTAAGGGGCGGGTGAAAGGGGTCAATTGTAGGGTGACCGATGGCAACTAGACTTTTGGGGGGTAATCACTTTGTGGCTTATACAGATGTCGAACTGTAACGTTGTGCACCTGAAACTTATATAATTAAAAAAAAGAGTAGTCAGCCCCTGCCTTGAGCCCCATACTCTGACCTTTCCCAGCTACCTCCAGTTATATATACGAATGGACTCCACCTGTAGGCCCTGCCTCCTCCAGAATCAGCGCTGGGCATGGCAGGAAGCAAACTGGTAATCTCAGGATGGTAATCCTAGGAGATGAGTGAGAAGGGAACTGGGTACTCCCCGTAATATAGGTGCTTCACAGATATAGTTAAACCTCACAACAGCCGTAAACTCTCAGTGTCATTATCCCCATTTTATAGATGGGGAATATGGAAACTCAGTGTTGAAAGTACTTGACCAAGATTGCATAGTGTTAGTGTTTAAAAAACTAAAAAGAGGCAAACAAACAAAGCAGGACCTCAGTGCTGGTCTCCAATTTCCCAGGCTGAATATCATACAAGATAATTTTAACTCCTTCTTCCCAGATTTTGCACAGTGAGTAAAAAAATTGAAGTTCTTTTTTTGGTGCAATCAGTTTACAAGATGGTTGAGCCAGCTTTCTGTATAAGCTTATGACTTTTTCAAAAGCTGTTTGTGAGAACATTCGTGTCTTAAGCAGACTGCCTTGTCATGTGTACAGACACCAATGCCAAGTTATTTTGACCCTGGCAATAGCTGGGAAGACTGGAATCTAGAGTGAGATATGCTCCTGGATATGCATCCTGCCTACTGACATCTTGTGCAGTGGAATCAGTATGCATTTGGAAACCAGAGCCAGTGGCTCCCCTCCCCAGTCTGAATGCTGAGCCTCGTACCACCATTTTATCGTCTTTATTTCCTTTTGTCTTTCTTGCTTGAAAGGTGCTTATGAGGATAAGGACTGGTTGGAGACAGGGGTGGAGGCAGTAGCAATGAGTGGAGCCAGGTTAGAAATTGGTAAGAGAGTCACGTCCTTGCTGTGTTAATCTGGAATCTTGCTAGAAAGAACCAGGACCCTAGTCCTGCATTCAAGCTCAGCATCACTAACGGCGGGCCAAGCAGATATTATGATTCTCCTGATGCGATGCAAAGAGATTACATAGCTTATCTAGGATGCATTCTGGTCCAAAAATATTTAACGGGAATCCACCAATAATTTAGAATTAACCTAACCGACACTTCACAGGAAATGCAGGACATAAAGAGACAACATAAATGATACCCTGGGAAGGAACCAAACAAATCCAAAAAGTGACATATTCTGCAGGACGGCAGGTCGGTGTTAGGAGGAAAAGGGACAATGCCAATTCGAAGACACTTAAGGGACATAACTACTAGATGCAAAGTGTGGCCCTGGATTAGATCCTGGTTTGGACAGAATGCTATACAAAATTTGGGAGGGACAACTGGGGAAATATGAATATAGAATGAATATCAAATAAAACTAACATTTCTTGAACCGGAAAAGAGGAATCTGTTAACTGAAAAAAGCGGGTAGCAAAAAGCATATAATGCAAAATCTCATTCTTGTAAAAAAAGTGACAGATCTGGGAGGAAATAGGATAAAGGTTGTTATCTGTGGGTGATTGGAATATGGCACTTTATTTAGTTAGTTTAGTTTTACTTTGATGTATTTTACAACTTTCTACAATGTGCATAAAACTGCTTTTATAGTAATAAAAATTATTTTAATTAAAAAAAGAATTAGGTATTAAAATGGAAGTGCATGGTCCTTCCCACAGAGCCCATTTTTCAGTACCCAGAATGCACAACTAGTCAGTAAAATATTCAGGAATTAAACCCAAAGGCTGAGCATTTTTCAGGAGGACCCTAACTTCTGTCCATCCTCTGGGTTTTGGGTGCCAGGGATGAGGCCCAGCACTCGTAGAACCTTTGAACTGTATTAGCATTCCTGTTAGCTGGCCCTGCTCGCCTGCTGGGATGGGCCCATTAACAGGAAAGCCTCGGCTTCTGCCCTAGTTGCTTTGCCTAGGACTCCGTTTCCTTTCCTGAGCCCACCTGCCTCACTCTTGCCAGCCCCGAAGACTGAGTCCTGCTCTCAGGACTCCAGCTCCCTGGCTTGGATATGTCTGAACAGAGAGAATGCACAGAGCCACGATGTTGCCATTTATCTGAATTTCCAACATGTTCTGGTGGCTAGAATTGCCACTGCTATATCCTGCTGCCAAATGGGCGCCCCTCTGGTTGCTGTTGCCTACCCAAACTGCACCTGAGCTTGGCGTGTCCAGTACACTGCAAGAGACCAGGCGGCTGCCCATGTAGTCAGCCTCTATAGCCAGCTTCATTTCTCACTCTCTCCTGGCTTCACTGACCTCTGCTATAGAGACCTGGCCATCTGCAAGCCCAAGACAGACATGACACTAAGCCTCCATCACCTGAGAAAGAGGCTGGTTATAAACTCCTTGCTGAAGGTGGGAACTGAAAGCAGATGTGGGCACAACTATGTCCACAGGCTCATTACTTCCTT